AGAAGAAGAAGAAGAGAGAGAGAGAGAGAGAGAGAGGGAAAGGAAAGGAAAGGAAAGGGAAGAAAAAAAAAGAACACCCAAATCCCAGCCACAGGAGTGAATTGTACCAATGCTTGCTCGAGAGGAGAGAAGGAGAGAAGGAAGTGAAGTTTTCCACCAGACATCCGGGTTGGCAGACACTAGATTTATTGGAGCCGTGGGTGGGCGCGCGGGACACGGGAAAGCAACCCAGGTCAAAACAAACAAGACGCACGTAGCAACCAAATTTGCGGGGGACTGTGCAGCTCACATTTGCCCCACCTGCGCTAACCACAGTAAGCCGCATTTTCCTACCAAAAAGGCTCCCCAATCAAATACGGTACAAGATACTGGAACAGTAACCGGTATAGGCATTCGAGGGCATCCTGGTTGTGACATCCCTGCACTCCAGTTCTACACTACGAGTGCCAGGGATAATGTTTTCGCACAGTTAATTTAGGTTAACCCTCAAAATAATCCCTGTCCTGTACGAAAACATCTCCCCTGGCACTTGTATTGTACTAGTACAAGTACTTGTATCCCTATCTGAAACATTATGATAATAATATGGGATCCTTGGGGGGTTATGTTCTTGGCTAGAATTCACCTATCATACCGCACTGACGTGTCGACAGGTGATAAACAAAAGCAGCCGAAGGAGGGGCGGAAAAAAAAAGGGAAGAAAATAAATAAATAAATAAGATATTAGGGTACAGTATCCATCTCTTGCCCGACACATGGCCATGATCACCCTATCCATCATAATTTATCAGTCCCGAGCGACGCACACAACAAATGCCCCCGGCCTCCCTACCGGTATGTTACTAAGTGTAGACATCTTCGTACCATTCACTGTCTCTTTTCATTCTGCTCTTTGTACATTTGAGAAACTTTTCGCGCTTCCAGACCAGGAACGGCGGGTGGAAGAATCCTATGAGAGCATGTTTCCCTTCCAACAATTGCAGGGGAACACAACACAAGACACGCGGACGCAAAATACAGGCACATACATGAGCGGAACAAACAAAAGGCGTCAGGTGAGAGGGCCGCTACAACCCGTGGAATCTCAACACAAAAAAAAAAAAAAAAAAAAACTAAGAGAAAAACTGGAAAGGCTCAATGATCGCAAAAAGACAGAGGTATTAGAGCAAGGAAACTCGAAAGGAAAAAGTAACCGGGAAAGAGAAAGGTAAGGTACAAATTACAACTACCCCGAGTGCTCCTGACCAGAATGAGATGAAGCTACTAAAAACAGATATAAATAAAATAAAAATGAATAACCATTCCCATTGAAACCCCGCATGCTTGTGAACAAAGTGATATCTCAAGCCCCGAACAAGGCTCGAAGTCTTTTTTTTTGTGTGTTTGTGGCAATTTAGCACCCATCCTGTGAATCTCCAACGCTTGATCCGGAAAACACCATATTGCAAAAATGAAGAAAACTCGTGATCCATAAACCTGCTTGACACGACTTAGTGATACAGATGTATTGACACCTGCAGAATAAGCATGCGGACGCAAAGAGAATCGATGTCAATATCCCAACGAACGCCCATCAAAAATCCAGTCAAACGATGAACCCAATAGCATCGAGTTTCGCCCGATATCCTCCACTTACTGGGCCTTCCCGGAAGTAACATTCGTCCCACTCAGTAAATCCGCAGAACGCCGAGCCAACGCAACAACCTCCCCTTCTCCATCTTCCCCTTCGTCATCAGAGTCGATATTCTTGTCCGCAATGTTTCTTATCATTGTTACAATTTCAGTCGACTGGCCAATAAGATTCTTTAACCGGGTATCATCAGCTTCCAAGAGCTGGAGTAAAGTCCAAATGGCGATGTGCTGGAACGTTGGGTCTCCACTGGCAAGGAATCTCTTCAAGTAGCCATGAATACCACCCTCCGGTTCCAGCCAATCCTGTACAAACATCGAATAATCGCCAACTAGAAAAGAATGTCAGCAAATGTCAAGGCAGGATTTCTCACTGGATGCTCGCATTACCCTTAGAGGAGAGATTTCCCAATGCGGCCGCACTATTTCCTTGAACCTCAATGCTTTCCGATGCTGTGAGGGGGATTAGTACATCGAATACTCCTAGGTTCAACAGATGGGACTTGAGGTCGTCGCTCAGGGCCAACACGGCGATCGCCGCCGTCATTTCTGATTGGACGCTCAAGGGAACATCCAGAACCAATTGTTTGCATTTTTGTACTGCCCCCGCTTCTAAGACCAGCTCCTTATTTTTGTCAGAACTGGCAGCCAAATTCCGCAAGGTCGATATCGCGTGACACTGAATCTCCTCATTTTCCGTTGACCCAAGCAAACCCACCAACGGCCTCAGGAATCCTGCCTCGATGATCGGGGACTCGTTGAGCGGGTGTATCGATATGTTCCGGATACAGGCAACGGCTGAAAGAGTGAGGGGAGGGTAATCGGTCTGAAGGAGACGGAGAAGGGGCGGGAGACCCTTAGCACGGACAATATCGAGTTGATATTTGTCGTCGGACGCTAGATTTCGAAGTGCCAATGCAGCCTGACATTGTACTTTCGGACTGGATGAATCCATCAGGTGAACCAGGGAGAATACCAGCTTAGGTTCGTTTGATGCCAATTTTTTCCGATTGGCGTGGTCGACAGCAATATTACTGAGAGCCGTTGTACAGTAGTATTGAACATCCGGATCCCCCGAAGACAGCAGAGATACCAGGACAGGGATAGCACCCGCGTTGACCAGTTGTTGCCGATTATCGTCTGGGTTGTCCTTAGCAAGGACGGCTCTACCGCATACCGGAATGTCAGGCCAACATACCTGAATGTGTCATGTTTAACAAAGCCCCCGTTGCGTTCCGTTGCACCCGCATATCTTTGGATTTAGCAAGTCTTGTCAATGGCCCCAGAGCACCTGACCTGGCAATTTTGGCCTTGTTATCCTCATGAGTGGCGAGATTGGTGATGCATCCCACCGCATTACATTGAACCTCGACATTCGGCGACATCATTTGTCGTATCAACGGCGCAAGTCCGCCGAGCAGGACTATTGCAACCTTATTTTCAGCTGCATCAGGGTTAGCACCCTGTAATAAATCAAAGCTCTGGCCAAAGAATACGGACTGTTGACAGCGAGGTTTCCCAAGGCAGCGCTGGCGGCACGCTGCACCTCGATATCCGAACACTGAAGGAGGAAAAGTATTGGCTCAAGCGTATCACGATCCACCTCCCGAACATCTAACACGGGCCTAATCAGCAATCCGAAAGAATAAGCAAGCGTGGCTGTGGATGTAAGACCCCTACCCCTCTCTGTGATCTCCGCGAATGTCAAACTAGCACTACGTTGAAGATCGACATTATCCGAATACACGAGAGTGCTCAATGCCCTCAGAGGCTCCCCGGTGAAAAAGTCAACCTCAGTACGCTAGATCCAACGTTAGCATCCACCATGAAAAAGGGTCGAGCATAAGTAGATGCAAGGCGTTGAGAAAGTTTACATTCTCGAGGTATTGCAGGAGATCCGAGACTGCCTCCCTCTCGCTCTCCTGGAGCACTGGCTCGTATAGACCATCCCGAGCGCGGCCTATATCACGTTAGAACATCAAAAACACGACCTCACAAGATCGGCGTCGGGTAAAAATCTGGGGGAAAGACCTCTGCAGCAGGTGGAGCACGAGGAGCCGCAGTTCCCCATGGTGAAGGCTACGCTGGACTTGACGACGATGTTAGTGTTTTTTTTTTTTTTTTTTAGTATGGGGTGAGTGCACGTCTGGAGAGCAGGAGGGATGCCGAAGAGTCACAGGCAGGACGACAGAATGTGTTGCTGCTGGCGGAAGTAATCGGAAACGGTGATCCTGAGGGCGGAGAGCAACGGGCGGAGGAGGATTCTAGGGCTAGCTGAGTCGGGGGAGGGGGGTGCCACGGATGGGAGAACAGCTCCTCTCGTTTGGTGGTTGTGAGAAGGAGACGGCAGAAAGCCGTCGCACGTAGCAGCGGAGCAGCCACGCGCCAGGTCCAGTTGGTCAAGGAGGCAACAATAGCAATGTATAGGGGAGGGTAGAAAGGACAAAGGCTTTATGGAACAGAGGTTGGGGGCTTTGGAAACGCCAGGATCAAGTTCCGGGTGGCTCCGAGCACAGGACGATATGATACGATACGATATCATGATAAAAAAAAATTCGTGAGGGAGGGACTCGCGGAGGGCATGTTCTCCCTGCTGTCACTGCCACTGCCCCTGAGGTGATCGGTTGCGAGACCTCCAAGTTCCCACCACACACTCTGGGCTGTTCGGAACGTGGCGCGACTCGTAGGGCATTTTGGTTATTGGGAATATAGTGCCAAGTGCCTGGGCTTCCAAGCAGGTCACGGCATTTGGCACCCGAGTACCATAGCGTAGCCTACGGTACCGGTAGACTACTCGACTACTCGCAGTTTCACTCGAGTACCGTATGATACCGGTATACCTTGCGGATACCGGTACTGCACTCGTACTGTAGGGTACCGGTACTGTTACCGGTATCATACCGTAGTCCAGTCTGCCAAACACCTGTGCACGCGGGCGGAGGAGGGAGAGCCACCACGAGCAGGCTTCCGGCTTTCTCACAGAGGGAGGGTTGGAGGGGTCATCTTTGACCCAGCCACCAAGGCCCGACTCTGCGCTGCTGGCTGCCCGCCGCAAGTGACCTCATTCTGTTTATCCGTTCCTCCTCGGATTCGCCGGGCAAACGCAGAGGAAGACTACCGTGCCATAAGAACCAGAATAATTGAAGCTCACGCTAGGACTCTGGAGTTACTTTGATCTACCTCTCCCATTACGGTCCGTAGTTCCTTTTCTTTTTTTCCTCTCCCCCTCTACAATTGTCTATTTGTCTCAGCGGAGGGTTGAAGGTCGGTTTTTTTTTTTCTGGGTAATTCCCCTCCTTTATCCGAAGAGGGAATTCTCGACGTCAAATCGCGAGGTCCGATCCGTTCTCACGATAACGCGGTCCCGGCCCAAGAAACCGGAGAAGATGTCAAATATTTTCCGTGTGTGGTGCATAACAAAACGCTTTTGGATATAATGCATATCACTACGGCTGTGCTGCGTGAGGGCAAGGCTCCCCTCCCTCTGAGAGCTATGCTATTGGCCCACACCCTACGAGTACATGTTCTACACATGCTATCATATAGTTTTGTAGCGACGGGTGAGTACAGTACGGGGCACTTGCACTATGTATGTGCGAGTGCTTTTCTGTTAAGAGAGTACCATGGCCGCACAGGATACAGTCTCAGCTGCCCAGTCCGCCCCCTTCCCTTGGCCGTCACGAGTGGAGAAGGGTTCATGATGGATAGACTGCCGGTATACGGTACGGCAACCGCACGGTACGGTACAGTAATCGAGCAGCAAAGCAATCCCAACGTTATCAGGCAGGCCATAAGTTAGTCACCAGCGCATCGCATGGTAAGCTTGGGATAACCGCGGCACACCCTCATCCATTGGCAACACTCCATCCTTTACGGTATATCACATACTACTGTGCGGTACATGTACTCTACTGGTACCGTATCGCACCATCTTTCCCTATCGTGCCATCCAAACTGGCTGTGTCTTTTACCCATTTAACTCATAGTACCAAGCTATAATCTATGTTACCATTCCCCAACCTTGCGAGGCTGACGACGTACTGTGCTGGACTTAGTAATGTCTGCGAGGAATCGGCGCATTGAAATTTTCAGCGCCCACAAGCAAACAGGCTTCGAGTCACCGAAAAATGCGCCCCCCACTATTTTATATTGCGCCCATACCCCGCCATGATCTGAAAACTTCATCACCCATCATCACCACCACCACCACCATCACATTTCCCTGTTTTTATCATTCACGTTCACATCCAAACCCCAAAGACGTTACGCCAGTCCTTGCTCCGCCTTACATTCCGCCCTCGATCAAGTAGTTATTACGCAGCGCGAAATAATGGGTGTAAGTCTCCTTCTCTCGGCCCTTATGTGGATGCACTCATGCGCCCGAGTTGGAGCCGGACAGCCAAGCTGGTAAGTTCCCATACAGGATGTCCGCCTCCAACTCGGCCCGTGGGTACATAAAAACTCGCCCCCCATCCCTTCCTTCCTTTATTCCAACATTTCCACATAAGCCCACACAAGCACCCCGCTATCGGTCGGGATCCTTTCATCTACCAGACCTCCATTAGCCCAATTTCTTCTTCACTAGGATCTCCCGGGAATCATGGCTTACGATTACGGTTATGATTACAACCAGCTCGCGAGTAAAATGGCAGCCTCCCAAACACAAGGTGCCCCACCTCCCGGTGGTGCCCCTACATACCAACAATCGTATGGCCAACCGGGACAACAAGCGGGACAATATCCCGGATATCCCCAAGCCGGTGCCCCTCCTCAAGGCCCAGCCTATGCTCAACCACAATATCAGGCTTATGTAACCACCCTCTTGTATCTGCTTCTCTCTCATTCTCCTGCTTACTGCTTCCACCACTTCAGCAGCAAGGATACCCACCCCAAGGCCAGCCACCGCATGGACAACCCCCCTATGGTCAGGCTTCTTACGGCGGTGCTCCTCCATATGGACAAGGTCCAGCGCCAGGTTACGGAGCTCCACCTCCAGGCCCTCCTCCGGATGCCAATATTCTTTTGAGCATTCTCAGAGAAGCAGTAAAGGAAAAGGGCATCGAGCACATGTACCCGGAAAACAGGCTTGCCGGCATTGCAAATGACATGGCCAAGAAGGACCCCGTCAATACCTTATGTAACCATTGGAAATTGCCAAAGGAGGTTGGGTTTGACTTTGTCAAGCTTGCCTTGTTCGATGTCATCTTTTTGCTGGATGACAGTGGTTCTATGCGCTTTGGCGAGGGTCTCATTGACGAGCTAAAGTTTATTCTCTCCAACGTCGCTTTTGCTACTGGGCTTTTTGACCAGGATGGATTTTCCGTGCGATTCATGAACTCCAACGTGCAAGGGGACAATATCAAGACCGAACAGCAAGCAGCTGCTCTCGTGGACCAAGTGAGATTTGAGGACGTAACACCATTGGCTACCTCATTGAAGAACAAAATCCTGGACCCATTCATCTATAGGCCTGAGCAACAGGGTAGTCTAAGAAAACCTGTCCTCGTTATCATTATCACTGATGGCAGGGTAAATACCGCCACCGAGGAACTGACTGAGTACGGGATCACGGCTAACGTTGTGGCAGCCCACCGATAATGTCCACGGAGAATTTCAGCAACACATCCAGTCGATTTCTTCCCATTTCCGCGGAAAAGGGGGTGAGAAAATGCCCCCCCCCCCCCCCCCCCCCCGCCCTTCCTCATCCTCCCACCCTTAGGTTAGCTAACAGCCATCCCTTGTCAAGTTGTATCGTTCCAAATTGCCCAAGTTGGGAACGACAAAGGAGCCCAACAGTTCCTCTCAGAATTAGATAATGATAAGATCATTGGAGGGCTTATCGATTGCACGTCCAGTCAGTAAATAAATTGCAGTCCTTCAGGATACAATTACTAATAACGATAGACTTCGAGCTTGAATCCATGGAATTTAGGAAGAAAGGTATCGAGCTGACAAAACACCTCTGGTACACTAAGTTGCTCCTCGGGAGTATCGATCGCAGTGTAAGTGTTTCACTCGTGGGGGGGGGGGGGGGGGGGCATTGTGTTGACTTGTGAGCTAGTACGACAGCAAAGACGAAGATAAGAAAGCAGCCAACCCCCCGGGTGTACCCGGATCAGCGGGTTATCCAGCTGCCGGAGGTGCCCAGCCATACGGCCAACCCCCAGGAGCATATGGCCAGTCTCAAGGAGGAAAGCCAGGACAGTATCCGCCGCAACAGCCCTATGGTGCACCTCCTCCACAGCAGTACGGAGGAGGCTATCAAGGGCCGCAATCTGGTTATGGCCAGGCACCATATGGTCAGCAGCCTGGCTATCCACCCCAGGGCCCACAAGGATATCAATCCCAAGGCGGATACGGAGGACAAGCGCCACCAGCACAATACAACCCGAATGCCGCATACGGAGCCCCTCATAAGAAATGAGGGAATGCGCTTCCCCAGGCGTCTGGCTAGTCTTTTTTTTTTTTTAGTCTTTTTAACGTCTCCTATTTCCTGTTTTCGGTTTTCGGTTTTCAGTTTTCAGTTCCTTGAAACAAAAAATTAGGGTTGAGAACTATAACAGCCAAGGTATTGTGCCATAGGTGCTCTAGGGATGAGATGTGTTATTTTGCTAGTCTAGCTATTGCTGTGCTTAGCCATTTGATTCTATTTGACTAATTTACTAAGGGCCTCTAAGCTACTGGGGTTTACTTCCTGTGGTCAACAGAATAATCCCAAGAGAGAGGGAGAAGGAAAAGAAGCCTCTCTCAATACTCCAAAAAAACCCCCCCATCCCGCAGTAACATACCTCCAAACTTGATTTGACCACGGTGTGATACCGTGCGGTGGACCACTCCAGACAGGGTGAAACCCTGTAGACCTCTAAACCCCACCAACAAAAGCCCCACGCCCACACAGCACCAACTCAGTTGCCACGACGATGAATCAGCACGAAAGCCCTAGAGCAGGAAATGGACAGATATACTCCAGTGCAGTACAGCGGTGACAAGAAAGTAACCGGACATTAGCGGAAATTTCCATGCACTACAGGTTCATAAATGTCTCCAAACCACCGATCCATACTTAATACTTCATTCTTGAACCTCCCTTCTCAATCAACATTTGAGGCATACCACCTATTATCTTGTAGATCTTATTCCAACTTAATTATCCCCACTCCTCTCTTGCCACTCTATCTCTTCCTGCTCAGTCCTTGGCTTCGTATTGTGATCGGTGGTGAATGAATCTTGTTGCAACCACACTATATACTGCTCCAACCAGACTAGTATCCACTGTAAATCTACTTCCAATGCCGTCCGGTTACTTTCTTGTCGCCGCTGTACAGTACGGAAGATGCGTAGTAACTAAGCGAGCAAGCGGGCAGCGGGTGGACAAACCGGGGAGGTTAAGGATTTCGAGTGATGGTAGATGACTTGCGCGAAGTGGGGCTGTAAAGTTGCTAGTGGCTACTCGCGCCACAATGCTATCATAAGTGGGTGAGTAGCGGGGTGAGGTGGGGTGGGGTGGGGTGGGTGAGGTGACGGAAGCGCTGCCGGCGGCTCCCGTTTGTTGTTGGGGTCAGGGGTGTTGTTGGGATTGCGGTGTACGGTAGTATGATACCGTGCCCGGACAGAAACGCGACGGTACTCGAGTACAGCACGGTACGTGCATAGATCGAAGGGGAAAAAAGCAACGGATAGGAATCTGGATACGGTACTGTACAGTACTCGAGTACTCGTACTGTGTTAGTGCACCGCATAAATACTTTAATGATTAAATTCCAAGATCTCGCTCGCTGCTTCGAAACTTTATACCACATTTTTCTTCAAATGGACAATTTGTAGAGTAGGTACCATACCATGCTCGTGAAGATATGGTGCAGGTGCCGTACTGTAAGTATGATAGGTGGGTACCGTTCAACATGACTCGTAAACTGAAATTTTTCTATATAAGAACTAAAAGAAAAAGAAAAACACAAAAACACAGAAAAGTAAGAAAGAGCGAAACCAAGTGAAACAGCAGTTCTCAACCTTCCCACCAAGTCTTTTATTGGGGGGAATTCACAAAACATAAACGTGAGCATAGGAGGAAAGAAGGAAGGAAATGTTTTTTTTGTTAGTCTTTTTTTTTTTTAAAAAAAAAGGGAAGGGAGGCCAAACGAGAAATAAGCAATCAATCAAGACATTCATGATGAGACACCAGGAAACCCTCCCATTTCGTACATTCTGTTGCTTGTAACTATTATGAGGCGGTGTTTAGGTTAAGGCACGAGTGAATCGAGGAGTAGCATCAAGGGCATTCTTTTGTTGCTATGAAACCAGGCCATTGTGAGAGTTCATCATGACCCTTTCGATTTGCCCTTTTCATCCCGCTCCAGCGGCGCATTTGTATCGTAGCCCAGGGACTTGACTATCCCAAGGCCTTTTGTTCGACCCTCCCTGAATAGGAGCTTGTCGCCGATGCAGAGGTACTCCCTGCGCGCTGGATGAGAATGGGAGGTTCAGAAGGTGGGTGAGGGTGATCATAAAGGACTTACGGTCTCTGGCAGAATTCAAAGGCAACAGTAGCTCTGTCACCGGTCCTCATGAGGTCTTTATTGATATCGATGATTCGACAAGTTTGACTGACAGGGCCGACATGCAACATGGCCTGGTATTTCGGTTTTATGGTGGTTGCGTGAGATAAGATGAGGACTAAGAAACAATGCCAGAACATTAGATATCGTAGGTTTCTGTGTGGGGAATGTAAGATGCAAAGCTGTATCCAGTCCTTATGATACCTTCTGCAACAAATCTCTGGTGCGCCTTTGGGGGGTTGTCGCCTCTTGGGAGCACAACCATCCCCTTTCTCACTTCCCTTCGTCGTACTTTTTTCAGGGCAAACGAAGCACTTTGGCCAGCGGAGCAGACCGGGACTGCTATACGTTTTCGCTCAATAGACCTGATGGAGGTAGTGATAAAGTTCCCCAAGCTGTCTGGGCCAATGAGTATCGGGTCACCCGCATGGATCACACCGCTTTTAACGACTCCGGACACCACAGTCCCAACGAATGGTACCGAGAAGCAGTCGTTGACGTGGAACTCGAAGGAAGTATCAGTATCAAACTTTCCATGGAATGGCAAGATGTTCAGGAACGTGCGGATGTAATCCAAGCCTTCGCCAGTGACATTTGAAACCTGGAAAACTGGGCAAATCCTCTCACTGACAAATTGCTTCGCGGTGTTGACTACATCAGCTTGATTCTTGATGAAAATTGGTATTTTCCGTGCCCCAGGAGATTTCAGAATTTTGGTTATTTGATCAACGGTTTGCTTGAGAATTTGGGGCGGGCAAATGTCAATTTTTGTTATCACAACCAAAACCGGAACATTCAACGCCAGCGCAATACCCAAATGTTCACGAGACATCCCAATCAGGCCGTTATTCGCAGCCACCATCAGCATCACATAATCCGGGGAAGTTCCCAAAAGACCAAAGACGGTGGTGCGGAGATATCTCTCATGACCAGCAAGGTCAGTAAATGAGATAACTTTGGCAGAACGATTCCCGATCTCGTCCCATTTGAGTTTCCGGCCGGGATCATTGCTTCCCACAATTTTGGACTCAGCGTCGTACCCAAGGATTTCCATCCCTATGAAATTATAAGAAGGAAATTTGAGCGCAGAAAACAAGAGATACACACCCACGGAACTAGTTCTTCCCGACTCGATCTCATGCTTGTGTCTAAAAAGATTGACACGAGTCTTACCTCGGCCGTCATCAAGTGTATTTTTTGTTAGGACCCCTAGCATAGTTGACTTGCCCGCATCGACTGGAGTATAATATTATATGGTCAACAACCTTAGCCGCGATGGAAAGGAGTGCGTGATATATACCGTTTCCGACAACAGCAACCCTAATTTCCAACAGGCCTTCGAGAGACGCGGGTTTCTGGCGTATCAGCACCGTAGATGTTACACCTTTTCCATCTGTCGGTTCTCCCCCATCAACACCAAGGTCGCTTGTCATGAGCACCGTCACTGCTGCGCTAATCTCTGTGGCTGCAGTTTTAACCGACTGAATCGCCTGCTCGTATTCTTCCCCGGTGAACTCCATTGACTCGGCATTGTTATTATCCATCCCGACCTCGAACAATGTTTCCCCACGTCCCTCCTTTATTCTCGACAACAGAAGCGCTCGGAGGCGAGGACCATTCTCTTCACGAGGGCCCAAGAGGAGATCCCTAAGAGCTGAGTTTGGCTGTGAGTCCTCTGGAAGTCCTAAAGATTCAATAATGTCAAGCTCATCGTGGTCTTCCGCAGCACCACTAGCAGCTGTTCCACCCGGTCTCCGGAGTCTCTGCTGCTGCTCGACATATTCTGCAAAGTCGCTTAGCGCAAGCTCTCCTGCGCGCCGTCGGTCGTGGGCTATCTGTTTATCCGCTCTAGCGGAAGTCGCCATGATGGTGGTGAGGTGGGTCTCCCAGCTCTCAATCCCGAGGCAGTACGAGTAATTGATGGCGATTAGCGAGGTACGGGGGGGTTATAAGCTCTCGGTATCCGTAGGATCATTTGCGTATTACCCTGTAGGAAAGGCGGCGCAGTAAGTAAATACAGTAGGGGACTGTTCGAACGAGTTTTCGATGGGAGAAACATACGGCGATCGAGCTTTATAACGGCGAGGAAAGTTTCTGAGTCAAGGTCCACAGCTTCTGGGATCGAGGGAAGAGACTACAGATGACGCTAAACCCCGTCTGAGTCACGGATTCTCACCGGTATTTTTATTTTTTTTCCCCTCCTTCCGGACACTACCGGATTGATTTTAACAAAAGTTACCATACGTAGAGTCAGAAGATGGCCGTTTTCCTAGTATCTTATAACCTTCGCGCAGTCACTGTTTTTCATCCCAGTTCCCGTGTTCCAAGGATTTGAGTTGTGGGCATCAGTGTTCGAATATTGCGGCGCGTTACCGTACGGTACGGTAAATTACGGTAAATTGCGCCTGGAGATAAAATGCCGGAAAGCGGCATTCCCCACTTTAAACTTTAATGCCGAGTAATCCAATTTTCCTTCCTATACCGTATATCTACGTCAGAAATTCTTAGCTGGGGTGGGTGAATGCCGACACCCAAGCCTTTTCATGACGGTCGGCTCAGGGCGCCTGGTAAGCCTACGGTTACCGTACGTTACGTATCGTGTCGAGTGGCAGTAGACTACTCGTACCTTACCGTAAACTCCCCCTTCGAACCCTAGTGGGGATATGAGTGATTATCTATGACGATAAGTGCGGTGACTTGATTAGATCATCATGTCACGTGATCCTAGCTCGCGTTGAGGTGGAACGCGTCGTCTACGAGTAAGTTCCCTACTTGAAAGAAAGAAAGAAAAAAAGAAAAAGGGATTGACCAGCACCACCTCTTCCCAACAAGCATCACCCTCTTCCTTTCTTTGTTAGCGACAAAGAAGGACGACAAAGGAAAGCGACAAACCACGGACGAACACTCGCGTTATGGAGTCGTCTATAAATCCTTCGACAAAAAAGCGCTCTTTCGATCCCCCTATCTCGCACTTATCGATCCCTCCAGAAGCTCCCTCGCTGTTACCCACTCGAAATACGGAAGGCCCGGCAGACACCGACACCCACGATGGTTTCGACTCCAAGTTTGATCGAGAATTCAAGGATATTGTGGGCGAAAAATTGTCCGCAGATGCCTTGAAGCAGTTAGAGGATGTTTCGGGGGGGGATATTCAGAGAGGTAATATTCATTCTGCTTTTTTTTTCTTTCCCACCTTTCGCTGCTGATATATATTAACGATCATCAATTATAGCTATCAATATGTATGGGATTCTTAAGATATTGCTGCTAGCTTTTTACTGAGATATTTAGGTACTTTGACGGGTCTTGGAAAACAGCAGTCTCTAAGAAACGGAAAGTATTTCACGATAGATCTCTGTTGGCAGCGGATACCGGTAGTGCAAAACTACCTAAAAGTGTCCCCCCCAAGATTTTTATTGGGCAGTTTGGTGCAGATGGGTGGGCTACCAAAAGCGGTACGAAATTACTCTCCTTCGGTGATGCGGTAAGAATTGAACGCCAAAGAATGCGGTTGGGAGAGGCTGTGTCAAGTGCCGGAGGAAAATCGAAAGGAAAGGCGCCCGCTGCGGAGAGCTCACAACAGGGTGGGGTGCCGGGTAGTAGCCGATCAGCGCCATTGAGACAGCGCAAGACTCAGGACATTATCGTTCGGTTTACAAACTCTAAAGGGGAGGAGATAGGTCGACTCTCTCAGGATACCGCTAGTTTCATGTCAACTTTAATTGATCAGAGGATTGCATACTTCGAGGGGATTTGCATCCATGCCGCGGATAGGATCAGGACAAATGATACAATAGATTTGCAGCTTAATTGCTACTTGTTGAAGGAATCGTTTGAGAATAGCAACTTTCGTCCTGCGGACACGAATCGGGTTGCGGATATTTTTGCAGCTAAAGAAACTCAGGATGAGAGAGTTTTAAGGTTAAGGCAAGTGGCGTTGGTGAAGTTTTTTCAAAAAATGAATCTTGAACCCAAATCCACAAACCTTGTCACGCAAAGGCACAAAGCTGCTGGAATTCTCCAAGCTGCGGAGATTGCGGAGCAGCACGAAATCATAAATATCAGTACAGCAAATAAAGCTCGGAAAACCATGATGAGTGAGGCAGTTGATGAGTCTGGCGATGAAGAAAGCTCTATTGTTGAAGAAGGAAAGGAGTTGGAGGAGGATCAACTCAATGCGCTTTATCGTTTGTTACACCTTCGAATATAAGTTTTCGGTCAAGGTTACTAACTTGTTTATTTTTTTTCAGAGAAAGCGCAATCCTTCAATTCCGATACCCCGGAAGCAGAGCCTGCTGACACTTTCGCAATGAATTTACGTCGGTACCAGAAGCAAGCATTGCATTGGTTTCTGAGCAAAGAGAAAAGCACGAATGATCGCGTAAACGAGTCGATTCATCCTTTATGGGAGGAATATGAATGGCCGAATTCGGAGGAGGACCATAAAAAAACTATTCGTGACTTAGGTCAAGATAACTTTTACGTTAACCCATATTCCGGAGAGCTCTCTCTCAAATTTCCAAAGCAGGAACAGAATTGCTTAGGTGGTATACTCGCTGATGAGATGGGTTTAGGTAAAACGGGTGAGCTATTCATGCCTATAATATATAATAAAGGGGTGCGGAATCCGCTAATGGTTATATAGTTGAGATGTTGAGCTTAATACACACCCATCGTCCTGAGCCTCCGGGTTCTAGCCTACTTCCTGCCGGCAGTTTCGGTAGACTACAAAGGCAAAGCGAAGAAGTAATATCAGCTCCATTTACAACGCTTGTTGTTGCTCCGATGAGTCTGTTAGCTCAGTGGGAGTCTGAGGCTGAAGCTGCCTCAAAACCTGGAACTTTAAAGACTTTGGTTTACTATGATCTGCAGAAGAAACAGAATCTCCAAGCATTATGTGGTGCTTCAAATGCTGGAAACGCGCCGAACCTCGTTATAACCAGCTATGGAATTGTACTTTCAGAGTTTGGCCAGGTGGTCGCTTCGGGTGGAAAGCGTGGTGCACATGGAGGTTTATTCTCTGTAAAGTTTCTCCGGGTTATACTTGATGAAGCGCATCATATCAAAAACAGGTAAGTTGTTATCTTTTAATAGTATCAGCTTGTCCAGCGGTAGTAACAGGAAAAAAGGACAAGTAAATCAGCGAAGGCCTGTTATGAGCTCAGTGCGGTTCATCGTTGGGTCCTTACAGGAACGCCCATCGTGAACCGTTTAGAAGATCTTTTCAGTTTGGTAAGGTTTTTACGAGTCGAACCTTGGAGTAATTTCTCCTTCTGGAAGACGTTCATCACAGTACCCTTTGAAGAAAAGGACTTCATAAGGGCTCTTGACGTCGTGCAAACGGTCCTAGAGCCTCTTGTTTTACGGAGAACAAAGGAGATGAAAACTCTTGACGGGGAGCCCCTTATTCCCCTTCCTAAGAAAACAACAGAGATTGTATACATAAAGCTTTCCAAGGCGGAGCTCGATGTTTACAGACATATTGAAGCTAGGGCAAGAAGTGACCTTGCCCGCAGTATTGAGGTAGGTGTTGCTTAAAGGTAAACGAGAAATAGGATATATTGTGTACTGACAGTTTATAGATGGGAACGGTTTTGAAGTCGTATACTAACATATTTGCACATGTCCTGCGGCTTAGACAAGCTTGTTGTCATCCGGTATTGATCAGGAAGAAAGAGATTGTCGATGATGAGATAATTGCCGAAGCGGAATATGATGCTGCTAAGGGATTCAGCGATGATATGGACTTGAATGCTTTGATAGATCGGTATTCAGCTCAAGAAAATGATGCATCACCTAATATTTATGGTGCGAATGCTCTCAAAGAGATAAGAGATAACGTAGAAAACGAATGTCCCATGTGCCTATCGGATCCGATTCCAGATCAAACTGTAACAGGGTGTTTGCATGCAGCATGCAAAGGCTGTTGGAACCAATTGATTCAGGTAAGTCAATGATTTTTGCTAGATGGTAGACAGTACAAATGTATTGTTGCTAACATTTCAGCAGGCCGCAAAGGTTAAGCAAGAATTGCCCAAATGCGTAAAGTGTCGTGAACCGATCAATGAGCGGGATCTTTTCGAGGTCATAAGAAACGATTCCTCACCTGAAGAGGCTCAGCCTGGTAACTCTCAGGGGCTGGCCGACATAACTCTACGCCGAATCAACTCTCGCTCGTCTGCAAAGATCGAAATGCTAATTGAGAAATTGACGGAGACCGAGAAATCCGACCCAGAAAGGAAGAGTTGTGTTTTTTCCCAATTCACAACCTTTCTTGATCTTATAGAGAAGGAGCTGCAGAGGTATGGTGTCTTAAGAGATGTTTGGGTATTTGATATATTATGACAAAACTAACGTGAAATCGTAGGCGTCGGATCAACTTTCTTCGTTTTGATGGATCAATGTCACAGCAAAAGCGTACTGAAGTCGTTAGTGCTTTCAAAATGAACCAGGGCCCCAATGTCCTTCTACTGAGCCTTAGAGCTGGCGGAGTAGGGCTCAACTTGACAACCGCAAGTCAGGTTTTTATGATGGACCCTTGGTGGAGCTTTGCTGTTGAAGCTCAAGCGATCGATAGAGTTCACAGAATGGGTCAAAACTCCGAGGTGATGGTCTACAGGTTTGTCGTCGAGGGCACTGTAGAGGAGAGAATCGTGCACACTATTCAAGCAAGGAAGAAGTTTATGTAAGAAGCCCTATTCCATGCCGGATGCTCTCCTTCCTACTAACGTTTCTTTTACTTCCGGTAGCGCCTCCTCCTTAGGGATGATGAGTGATGAAGAAAAGAAGAAGGCAAGAATGGAGGATATCAAGATTCTTCTAGGTAAATAAGTATATAGCGGGAGTGGAGCATAGCGTCTTGGTATTTGCTGGATGAGAAGAGGTTTCATAAGGTTCAGGTTTTCATTTCTGTTCTTTGCTTTTTTTTTCTTGTATCAAGTCTGCGGCTGTGATTGCGTACAGTCCAAATAATCAGCTATGAGCTGTAGATTTAATACCACAATTCCTTTCCCCTTCTGAAACAGTTTATGATTTACGATAAAAACAGCGGCGCTCCGGACGGTTCAGTGTTTTTGGCTTTGTTACTTGCTGTTGGTATAACATTTTTGCTTCTTATTTTACAGTGTAGAATAGGACAATTTCCATGGTGGCGGGGTGTGATAAAGTTCATTTGTTGCATTTTATATCTATCATAGCTATAACCAATTAACATGCGATACCGTGCAATGAAGTCTTATTGGAACCGAGAACAATTGAGCTAAGCAGTAAACACTGATTCCCGAGTAACAACCTCTCTTGAGTGAAACACAAAATACGGCTTGGAATATGGTACCAATACCCTTACTATTATCCCTGTAGCACTTTAGTATCTTTGCAAGAATGTACTGCTATAAGGTATGTTATCCCAGAACTCAAAATAGTTTAATAGGATTACCATCCCACTATCCCACTCCTAAGATACTGTCTTCTTTGTTCTGATATTGGCTCATTACCCGGTCAATATAATACAAGTATTTGTTTCTACCTTCTGAGAACTTTATTTTTTTTCCTTTTGTCATGCCTGCAAGTGAATTACTAGTTAGGATAGGTAGAAGGCATCCCACTCATTGTTCCCCTTATTTATGATAGTGTTTCTTTATTTCCTTTTATCTGGTACTGATACGATACTGGTAGGAATTCGTTGGTGAGGTCAGTATAGATTACCAACTGGGTGAAGCTGAATTGTGTGTTGATAAATAAGCAGTCTCTATTTTACTCTTACTCTCTACCGTTTTGCAAAGGGAAAAAATAAATAGTGAAGCTCCAGCACTCTGTTCGCGACTAGAATTGGGGGGTGGGGTGGGATTAGCGATATGAGACATTCCCTTGTTTCACCTAATAGCCTTGGGGCTCTTGGGGTAGTGATGAATTACTGAATTTCCTTGTGCAAAGTCTCCCATTTCAGTACATCCGAGCGTGGGGGAGGATTTGTTTTGTATGGAGACCAGACAGTATGCTCGAGTGACAAGCTATGACGTAGCTAGCCCGGAAATCTCAAATACGGTACTTTACTTATGCTTGCAACATGGGAGTTCTGATGCGCGAGTGTCATACCATGGGTATGAAACTGCAGTATAGTACCGGGGTCAGGATATTGCCGGGTGAAATGTGGGTGTCTGGTTTTAGCTGGATACCGGTAAGATAGGTGGGTTGGTGAGCGAGGTATTGCACTTGTGGGCAAAAGTAAGGTCCCATTCGCCTCGGTGGGTTATGTTATCATATGAGTTCTGAGCCTTCCGTAACCGGCCGACTCTGGAGCCAAGCCCTTCTTCAATCCGGATTCATCGGTTTGATGGGCGCGCCGGGTGTCGCACTGGCAAACTTAACCTGGCTCAGATATGGTGCCGGTATATAGATCTGCGGCCCGAGTTATGACATCCGGGTCGACCCACGGAACTCAAGACCCATTGGGAATCTTGGTATAGGCTCAGGGGTTTAGGACTGTATCTCTCACTAGATCACTACTCCCACGTGTTGCACCATTACTGTGAATATTAGAGTAGCTAACGTAGACTCCATGAGGGGGGGGAATGATTTGCTCCTTTCGGGCCTGATTGATTACAAATCTTATCAGATGATCGAATCACACTTTTTGATATCGGGAGTTTACCAGTGCACATGGTGACAGGAGCCCTGGAGGGGAACAGTGTATCATAAGTTAATCCTTCACTTCAATTTTCTCGACCATTGGAAGGTGATCGAATAGGGACTAGGAGCCCAGAACCACAATGGATCCAATACTGTCAAAACTGGAACAACCATGAACGAGGAGGCTAGGATGTCAATAATTTCCACTTTTGGATTGAAGGGAGAAAAACATGGCGAAAAGATTTCTCTTTCAGCGCTCGATTGTGCATGATAGGAAGTAAATAGCAACAGACTTTACCATGAGAGGCTACTCTAGCGTCCTGTGGCGAGATTCGCGATTATTCCGGTTCTTACGGTATTTACGGGCATGCCGCTCTGTGGCCTGGGGTTACACACTTCCCATCTAACGTTTCTGGCGCTCGAGCGCCGTAGGGTGATTGGAGACTTAGAAGAAATTTGAAAATTCCCTTGCTGTTTGCGAGTGATTTTTTCTGTGCATTCTAATTACCAGCTTACTTTATGGATTATTGGTGAAATAGCTATCTAACCATGTATACTAGCCAGGGGGAAAGCGAAAACTCCAACAAACTACAGCACCAAAGAACCGCATATGGAACCGTGATTCAGTGACGACCGAGCACGGAATTTCTCCAACACATCCACTCCACCAGGAAAAAGCTCAGAAGGGCGTCCCAAAGTAATCTTAACCTAGAAATGGATCTATTGAATATCTTCCCTATGGGTATTCAAATTTGTAAGTTAAAACTGGTAGGATGTTTCTTGGGGTAGAGCAGACTCAGAATCCTTACCGTGGCCGATTGCTGTTGTCCTTGTTGTTTAGGGGAGACCCGCCATTTGGCTGTGGTGGAGGTACCGGGCTGCCCTGATTTTGCGGAGGAGGGCCCTGACTGCTCGGTGGTGGTGGGCCTAGGTTCTGTTGGTTTTGCTGGGGGTGGTCTTGGTGCGGGGGAGAGAATTGCGGACGTTGATTACAGCCCGTGTTTCCTGTAGCTTTGTGGTCGGCTTTCTTGGCGTGATTCCCTGCGAGATCGCCGGCTCCCTTGACTGTTTCACCGATGCAGTTGGCTGCCGGCCCGAAAATGTCGGTCCTGGGGATTAACATTAGGAAATGTATCGCAATATATCTAGTAGCACTTTTGGTAAGATTCCAGCTTACATTTTGGTATGCTGTGGGGGGGAACTTTTGGAATGGTTGATTGAAGAAGAAGTGTATTAGGTATTTGGGTTCTGAGCTTGATGGTGGGATTGGGGTCTCTAGAGTTAGCTAGCGTAGAAAGGGAGTTTAAAGGGACGAGATCTGTAAAATTTTCTGCGAGAATTTATCTTCCTGCAGCCTGTGAAATAACATACCGGCGTTCCACGGCATAGGCGGTGTTGGCATGGGGGGAGTCATGCGCAGGTTTGAGCAATGCAATAGGTTGAACTTTGGTCAAGATTGCAATGAAGGCTTGTGTCTGGGTGTATGGCTCGCTCTGGTAGGCGCTCACTGACTCTGCGATTGAATATGATATAGTTAAGATCTGAAACTGATATCCACTGCAGGATATGTTGGCTCACCCGGTACTCGAGTACCGTAAAAACACGCCGCCTCGCTGAACCCACCCGTAGTGAAGGATGTTGCCTTAACGAGAGGTCTGTATCAAGCAGGCTCCATAGCCCTACCACGCCAATGAAGTGGAGGGACGTCGCTATAGCGCTCAGAGATTCCTTGGACATGAAGTGTATTTTGAAATCACATAGCGCACAATTAGGAGTGGTGTACCGGATTCTTTGGGAGAAATATGAACCTGTGTTTAATTAACTTAAATATTCCATTGGGGATAGGCCTGTAACGAGCGATACAAAACGCAGTGCCCTATGTCTCATCGAAGACACAACTACCATATGGACTGGTGTGCTTTTTGGGTATTACATGTTGGGGATACTCGGGTTAACCTCACCCCACTTTTGCGTTTCCTTATCTCGTTGCGTTGTTAGAACCTGGTCAAGAATCTGTGGGTGAAATTCTGTTAACAGCGTTGGTCGTTTCAATTTTCAGCAGTTTTTCTTTGCTTCTTTTTCGTGAAGAATGCCAGTAGTGTCAGAGACATCGAGTGTCGGTCACCGTAGCGGGTTCGCTCCCTGGTATTTCCTGCAGGAGTTTGTTTAGGCGCAAAGTGCTGGTGGATTACCGGTGCCTGGACATGTCTATGCTGGCCGTGACGGTCATTCCCGTAACTGCCTCCGGCGTGATTATGCAAGTCATGCTGTTAGTGTAGCTCTTATTCTCGATACCCGTGGTTCTTAGACAAGGTTAGCTCACCGTTGGCCCTCCGTGGTACTGTACTGTAGACACGGCACACGCACTGCACCTCGTGGCAACACAGCAGAATCGCTCCAGGATGGGGGAGACTGTGAGCATGAATAATTTATATCCACCGTATCAGAACACCCTGGAATTATCACCGTGGTGCAGGTCGAAATAGTTGGGGATTTGGGAATTCTCATTCTAATATTTATTATATTTACACATGCGGGAGTAGCCTGCTATAAGCTCTACATCACTAGTATTACGCAGAAGAGGTTGAACTCTTTGTTTAAACATCTGTTGTATAATATGATACAACTTGTACGAAAACCCAGGTGCGGGGAGGGGGTTGCTTTGATTGAGGGTTGCCGATTTAGGAAGTTCGCGAAGATACGGGACTGCAGTTATAACATTTAAATCTCGATATGTTTATCGCAGCAGCTGGCTTCTTCATTTAGAAAAAACACCTGTCTAGTTGAAAAACTTGTGCCTTTGCTGCGAGGCTATGAAAAGCGACATTTGAGGTGTAGGATGCATTGCCAACGATCAATGTCACACAAATGTACTCGTACAACCTGTAGGATGATTTGAAACAGCCTTGGATACGTGCAAGCCCTCTTAGGTATCTTATACTTGACTATATGAAATGAGTATGCCAGAGGGTGTCGGGTATAGATAGTGCTCTCAGAACATACACGCACTATCTCAGTTTTTTTTTGGAACGTATGTCATAGTGCCCCTAACGATTTTGTTTCTTGTTAGTGTATGGAGCGCTCTCATGGCACTTGGTGTACCATGGTAAGAGGGGAGCTAGGGGAGAAACTCTTTCCCTCATCTGACACTAATTCTTCCGGTTATGAACGCGAAGGTGGGTATGTCAAAATCGCCTTTCCAATGGCTAAATCACAGCCCTGGCGCACCAGTATCTAGCGCGAGTGCTAGGTTAGATAGTAGGTTTAGGAATTGTAAATTGTAATATGATCCACATGTTGGTAGTTTATGTTCAAAGCACTTTTAGCATATGAGGACCCTTGTGTGGGTACTGCACCGTACTCGAATAGTACAACGACAAAAGAAAAAAACAAACAGGTCCTCTCACGAGGTTGGCCCGATTGAAATTGTTCTCTGGGATCTTTCGATCCCCTTTACTTCACTTCGCTGGTGGGCATTTTGAGTGGTATGTTGGTACTGCTACGGGCACTTCCGTTTAGGGTCCGGCAACATACTGATAGCACTCCGATTAGTTCCTGATTGGGCTACTAAAAATGTATTTGGGCCACTTCCCGATGAGCAAGGGGAGATGGATGTCGATATGTTCTCGAGGAGGGACTATCGGAGCTATTTGGCCTCGTGTGAGAAATGGTAGGTTACACATCATTCAGCTCAGCCGCAAGCCTGGCCTGCGGGGGGCAAGAAAAGTGCAATTAACCCCACCTTAGATTCGGGATCCTATTTTCTGTCGGTATATGATTTTCCTAAAACCTTATGCTCAATGAATACCAGTGGAGCGGCTTGTCACATTCTTAGATATTTTGATTCGATTTAGAGTTGAGATAAGGTTGCCGAAATTTTAGCTGATATTCTGCTTTTGGCAGTCTGATTTGCGGGCTTTGGTTTAGACTGTTAGGTACGGTATTAATAGGTATAGGGCTAATGATTTATAGACATTAATTAAAGCACAGTGGCGGTTCCGGAAGAGATCCGGGATTTTCACTACTGACGGCTTGGGAGTAGTTAATTTTTCTGTACAGTACGGTGCTGTAGGTATCGCATGGCTGCATATGTGTTGGGTATTGGGTATGCAGGGTTTGCTTGAGATTCAGAGAGGCGAAGGGTCTCTGAGATGCTGGGTCGAAATCCTCCGGGCTCTTGCATGTAATGTCACACATTTTCGTCAACCTTACTTCTGTCTCCAGCCTGGGAGATGTGGGTAAGAGTTAGTTGGCCGAACCTCTTCACGGAATATCCGTTATCATCATTGACTTAACCCCGTTTCTCTTGACCTAGTGCAAGAACCCCTTCAAAGATAGCTTCACCCCACCGGATTCCAAGCCTGGTTACACTCCGGGGCTGTTAGGAACATGGACAAGTAACATGTCCGACTTACTTGACCGGAAGGCATTAGAACCTGGCACTTGGCTCTATGATCCACTGCGACTACCCCCGGGGACTACTTGAGAGGCCGGCGCCGACTCTGCTGGATATTACATCCCCGCAGCAGGCCACGGGTAGCCGAGGGGCCGGGTGGAGACGAGAGGCTAGACGCTCAGGGATGGCATTGTGAATGGAACGTAACACTGAATGTCGAGGGAGGGGTCGCTGGGGTGGTTTCGTATGGGTTCCCCACGGTATGATAGTACTATTTACCTTAACAAGCTGCCAATTGAGCTCACTAGCTCATGATAGGGATTGAAATACTGGGACAATCCAGCCAAAATTCGCCGGCATCTTCTTGATTTGTGCCGGGAATTGAACCTTGAGTTTTAGCGTTAGGTAATGGTTCAAGATTTATGAGATTCTAGGGGTAGGGACATGAGCAGATGGAATTGTCGAACAAGTAAAGGGTCCATTGCCCATATAATTTAGGAATCTCAAAAGCTTGACAGCTTTGCTGAAAAAAAGCTATAAGAGCTACTATCATCAGTATTGGTTCTGAAAGCGTGCTTATCCTGCTGGTTCTGGGTTGGTTGGAATCGCAACTATAGTTCCTGGAAGGGAAATTCTGATCCACATGTATGCTATCAACCCCCCGCACTTCTTAGATAGTAGAGCTATCCACTTGAGCTCTATTGCCAAGTTTTTGAGGTAGTCAATAGATTTGCGACAGAAAGTAAAATGTTGACCATCCCCCCCTCCAACTGGCATCTCCTTTGAAGACTTGATCAACCCGAAACGGGTTAAAATAGAACACCCCTAGATTCTGGTACTTTATAGGTGACCGCGGGGATAGCTTTGCATGGCCCGGGTTTAGACTTCTATCCGAGGCCTGATACGTTTTCGGAGATGTTATTGACTGTATATCAGGATGGAAGATCGAGTACGCTTCCCAGTTGGAACTTGGCAAAACTGGGGCAGGCGATGACCCCTACACCGAGTCGCATATATACGCATGCACCACTTTCCCAGTAACTACTTGATAAACTGGAGAATTACATATTAGTTGGGGATAGGCTTGACCATGAGGCCATCCTAGTCCCATCCTATTAAGCTCTGGCAAGTTTTCGATGAGTTGAGACCGTTCACTTGCGCGGGTTTTGTCATTAATAAAGGAACATATCTCTCCGGATCAAACTGTGCTGGGAATGTGGGAGTTTTGATCTGTGCTCCACAGGATCCAGCTTTGAGCTCTTTTTCTGTGCAGGGTAGGTCCTCTACTTGTATCCAAGGACGAGAACACGTGGTGGAGGACGCCTTCCATGTATAAACACTATTTATTTCAGGGGTTTACGTCTCCCTGTATAACCCTAGCTAAGTTCTCGGTTAGCTGTTTTTAATTACTATCAGGTATTTACTTATCGCGTTAGCCAAAGGACATCTTTGCGTGCTGCTATCTTTATAGCGGGATAGCGTGTAACCAAAGGGTCAAGGATTTATGGCACGGGTAAACCTGGCAGTGCCCAAGGGATTCAAACGTGGGTGGCTCATGCCCCATTGGCAGCTTCAAACGTCCGGTGCTCTATAGTAGACATAAAACCTGTTACCGGAGCTGGAGAGGGTATTCATCCTCCAAAGACTATGTTCTATAACTAAGATTGTTTGTAAATGGGTATTGATGGATTGGGTAGAGCGGTGGGATTTGCCCGAGGAGGTTGCGTGGCAAAAGCGAAGTATAAATTACCGGTACATTACTTACTGGAATAATTGAGGACATCATGGGTTCCCGGGATAAAACCTACTAAAGACACACTTTCCCTAACCGGAGCCAGGAAACTTGGCCTTGGTATTATGGAGAAAGGAATGTGGTGAGCCGGGGTGAGGGGCAAGTATATCTTGGCCGGATCACTGTCCCACTTGATTAAGGTTGTCAGTTGACCTATCCCCCCACCCAATATGGGCACCGTTTGTGACATGACCCCAAGGCGAGAAGACATATCATAGAAGGTCTGAGAGGAGTTTTCTCTACTTCGAGGGAAGCGCCTGGCAGCTGTGCTGGTA